TGATGAAATCTTATTGTTGACATAGTACTTTTTTAAAATTTCAAGTTATTTTCCCAACAAGTATATGAGGTAAGGATTATTTTCATATTACAGATGAGAAAACTGAGGCTCTGAGAGAGTAAATTAATAGCTAAACTTTACACAGAAAACAAGAGAGCTGAGATTACAACCTAGATTATCTGACCTCAAATGAAGGGATCTTTCCTTTGTACCATAATGGCCTATGATTTTGCCATACTTAATGAATTCTGAAAACTATTACTAAAGATGTGACTAAGAGTTAAGAAATACCATTTGCAAGAAGTTCTAAAGATTGTAACTAAACAAAAATAGACTTATATCTCAACCTTTCTTTGAAACTATCTAAATACTTCTTCTTCCTCTTCTTCTTCTTCTTTTTCTTTTATACCAATGAGTTCTCACTATGTTGCCCAGGCTGATCTCAAACTCTGAGCTCTCGCTTTGGCCTCCCAAAATGCTGAGATTGCAGACATGAGCCACCATGCCCAGTCAGCCACCATGCTTGGCTAACTACCTAAATACTCCTAAATTATAAGAAGAGGCTTGGCTTTCCAGGGGGAAACTGTGTAATGAGTGGGGAAACTTAAAATTTGGATGCTGCAGACCCAGCTTACGGGATAAAAGCACAGAGGTCTGCTGATTTCTCACCAGCATTCTTATCTACTACCCTTTCTGCTTTGGATGAAGCCCTGCATGGTGGTGTGGCTTGTGGATCCCTCACAGGTCCACCAGGTTGTGGAAAAACTCAGTTTTGTATAATGATGAGCATTTTAGCTACATTATCCATCAATATGGGAGGATTAGAAGGAGCTGTCGTGTACATTGACACAGAGTCAGCATTTAGTGCTGAAAGACTGGTTGAGATAGCAGAATCCCATTTTCCCAGATATTTTAACACTGAAGAAAAACTACTTTTGACAAGTAGTAAAGTTCATCTTTATCAGGAGCTCACCTGTGATGAAGTTTTACAAAGGATTGAATCTTTGGAAGAAGAAATTATCTCAAAAGGAATTAAACTTGTGATTATTGACGCTCTTGCTTCTGTGGTCAATAAGGAGTTTGATACACAACTTCCAGGCAATCTCAAAGAAAGAAACAAATTCTTGGCAAGAGAAGCATCTTCTTTGAAGTATTTGGCTGAGGAGTTTTCAATCCCAGCTGTATAGGAAGTATGGTGCCAGCATCTGCTCAACTTCTGCGGAGGCCTCAGAAGAGCTTTTACTTACAGTGGACAGGGAAGCAGGAGCAGGCCCATCACATGACAAGAGCAAGAGAAAGAGTAAAAGGTGAAGTCTCCAACATTTTTGAACCATCAGATCTCTTGAGAACTCACTCACTAGCGTGAACACAGCACCAAGCCATGAGGGATCTGCCCCTGTGACCCAAACACCTTGCACTAGGCCCCATTTCCCACATTGGGGATTAATATTCAAAAGGAGATTTGGGTGGGAGAATATTCAAACTATATCAAAGGTGATGATAAAGAGTAGTATCAATGAAAATATTGAGGAATGATTGAATTTTGCATATATTTTTGAGATTGAGACAACAGGATTTCCTGATGATTTGAATATGTTGTGTGACACAAAAAGGAGCCTATGTTTTTGGCTCAGGAACTGAATGTATGGGACTGTTATCACCTGACAAGAGGAACACTGTGGACAGCGCAGATTTTAGGGGGATGATCAGAAGTTCAGTCCTATATATTGAGTTTGAGATGTCTGTTAGGCATTCTTGCAGGGATAATGACATCTACACATAGGTTGGTTGTGATGATTAAATATGGTGAATGTAAATCACTGAACAAAGTATCTGACAGAATTATCTCTGTGAGATCAGAGAATGTATTGCTATATGAAACAAGAATAAAAGATTGCAAAAGGGAGATATTTAGGGAAAAAGAGCTCACATAATATGATAGAAGAAAATTTTAAAATGATGGATGGAAAGATAAGGTTGAAGAAATCTCCCAGAATATAAAAGCCAAAGAGATGTAAAAATATTACGGAAATATTAAAAACAATAGAAAATCTAGTCAGGAGGTCCACCTCCTTTCTAAAAAGACTTTCAAAGAGACAGACAAAAGAAAATGGAAGGGAAATAATTATCAGTGAAACAATGTAAGAAAAATTTCCAGAACTGAACGCCATCTGTTTCTAAATTGAAAGTGCTCAGCACCATTAATGAGGGGGATAAAAGTCCTATTGTGAGGACATTTCAGAGTGCCAGAGAGTTAAAAACAAGTCACAAGGAAAGGAATAGGAATTAGTGGAATGTCCGTCTTAACTTAAAAGTAACATTGGAAGCTAGTAGACAAGGAAGCAATACCTTCATAGTTCTGAGAAAATTATGACAAACATAGATTTCTAATTCCAACCAAATAGTCAATCAATTATGAGGATGACCTAAAAATATTTTTTTAACATGCAAGATACCAAAAAATTTATCTCCTACATATCTTCACACAGGAAGCTATTGAAGTATGTGAAAGAAGGCATGAAATCTAGGAAAATGGGGAATGTAACACTGGAGAGAGGGGAAATTTGCCAGATGATGGTGAACAAAAGTTCAGGATGACAGCTGAGTAACAGGCCTAGAGATGACTAGTACAGATTGGAGCAGGAAAGTGGAAACTCCAGGGAAGATGTCTCTCTAAACCAAATTAAACTGATACATGTGTTTGATTATTCTCAAAGCGTTTGATAGTTTGTTCAGAGAGTTAGAGAGTAAACTGTCCCTAACTTAAGGGAGCTTACACTGTAATAAGGAGTACATGCAAGTAGGCAGGCAATTATAGTATTCTGTGAAGGTGTATAAAGTTTAGTACTGTAGGAAACTAGAATGTACCTCCCCAAAATATGAAGGATTCTTGAGCTGAAGACAGTTAAGATGCTAGTAGATCTCTCTGCCTAAAAGCAGGACACACATTTACAGAGAAAAAAGGTCTTGCTGTCCTCCCTCCTCCTTTTTCCCCTATGGACAGGATGTAAATTCTTCTTTACTGGAAAAAATCCTTTATCATCTCAGAGACGGCACCAGAGGAATCTGCAAGCTGACTTTACTCCATTAGAGCCTTCCATATATTTACCTTTCCACGGTTTCCCACCTCTTGAAGTCTGAGACTGCTTTCCTTTGCCTTGTCACTTAAATTTATTGTCACTAAATTTATTGTTCTTTGTTGGTATGCGGTATAAACCAGACTTGTAAACCACTGCCTTGAGTTACTTTTCACTGAGAGCTTTTCCCGTGTGATATACACTGCACACATTAATAAACCTATCTGTTTTTCTCTTGTTAATCTGCCTTCTCTGATATAAGTCTGTGTTAAGTACATACTTATGAGGGTTGAGGAAAAAATGTTTTTTCTCCCCTTCAGTTCTCTGCTGTTAGATCACCCATAGTTGGAATAGAGGCTCAGAAACCTAGTATTTAGCTCCTTTGAGCATCTGTAATTGAACTGACAAACCAAGAGCTTGGGGTTGACTGTTGCGTTAGCTGAAGAATAGTTTCTGCCACATTCTAGAAAACAAAGCTTTTTTTTTTCTTTCTTTTTCTCCAGGGAATGAGTTGGGGGAAACCATTTATTTTAGTTTAAAGAATTTAAAGTTCATCTATATATTTATAAGCATTTATCAGTTTTCATTTTAGTATGTATGATGGTATCATGTTTATAAGAATATTTTGTTTTTAAAATTACTAGAGCAGTGCAAAGGAAAAAACTTGAGTTGTTAATTTTAGATACGAAAAGCAGCTGAATTTCTTATGTAATATTTTACCCTCCCAAGATGTGTTCTCTATACTCCATTGACATATGCCAACAAAGTAATGTTCTTCCAATTAAAAAAAAAAAAAAAGAAGAGACTTCAATTCCTTAGACTGATCAAGCGTCCAAAAGTATGCAACACAAGTCTAAAAGCAATCAGAAATAACCTTGCATTGCTGATTTAGCTAAACAAACAGATCTCAAAAGTTGGAAGGCTTCATTTCTTCACTTACAAAGGATACACATTCTGGAAATTTCGGGTCTCATTTATATATTTACGCATTAATAATTCATGGAAAAATGCAGAAGGAAAAAGAAAATAAAACACAAATGCTTTATTCCTGAGAATGGTTGCTTCTTTCTCTAGTGCTATTTTTTTTTTAAAAAAACTGCATATACAGGAGGCTGAGGTAAGAGAATTGCCTGAACCCAGGAGGCGGAGGTTGCGGTGAGCCGAGATCGCGCCATTGCACTCCAGCCTGGGTAACAAGAGCGAAACTCCGTCTCAAAACAAAATAAAACAAAACAAAAACCTGCATATAGTGTGATTGTGAAGTATTTTTTGAATATACCCCGTGACAAACTTTACCCCAAAAACTAAATGAAGTAGAGGCATTACAAAGTACAGGTAGAATTCTTCATCAGAAAAGCATGAAATGGTATAATCATAATTTATTCTTAGATATTTAGTTCTTTCTAAGCACAGTGTTAGAAGTCAGGGAGATCTGGATATAAAACACAACCCTAAAATTTAGAGCTACATGATCTTAGGCAAGTTAAATAACCTGCTTAAGACAGTTTTTTTTATTTGCAAAATGGAGATGATAATACCTACATCATAGGATTGCTATGAAGATTAAATGTGGTAACACATGTAAAGCTCTTGTTACTTGATTTGTAAAGTTCAATAAATAATAATCTCTTTCCTCTCATCCACTCCTATGACGATTTCCTGTTAACTCCAAAAGCCTACATATTTTCAACCTAATAAGATAATTTAATTAGCTGTCTTGTTCAGATTTTCACCACTGCTTTGATGCCTCAAACTTTATGGAAGAAAGCTTCACTTTCTTATAAATAAAATGCCTTAACTTTTCATATTACACAGGTCATCTTACTATTTACTTTTTAAAACACAAAAAGGTAAATTTTATCTTTGTGTTTACCCTTTCAAATGCAAAACAATGACAACAACAATAACCACAAAAATACTCACCTACTAACACCTCATAAATGTCCAATGTCTGTCATAGATCCTCAGCATACTCAGTTCTTCTTTAGAGGCCTGTAGTCCACGTCTGTATTTCTTACTTTTGTGACTTATCCATCACAGCTTGGCTTTTGTCCTCTGCTGCTGAGGCAGAAATGTCAAAAGGAGTCCATAGCCTTGGGTAAAATAGATTTAATTAGAAGAATGGCAAACCTCTGATGAGAACTTGATAAATCGACCACTGAAACACCGTTTACCCATTTAAAGTTCAGTATTATAGTTAGGACAGAAAGATATTTGGATCTCAAAGGCTGAGATAATTGCGCTAATTATTCAATAATTGTATTAATTCCAGATGTAGCACTTTTTTTTTTTTTGAGGTGGAGTCTCTGTCAGTTGTTAGGCTAGAGTGAAGTAGCACTATTTCAGCTCACTGCAACCTCCGCCTCCTGGATTCAAGTGATTCTCCTGCCTCAGCCTCCTGAGTAGCTGGGATTACAGGCACGTGCCACCACGCCCAGCTAATTTTTGCATTTTTAGTAGAGATGGAGGTTCACCATATTGGTGAGGATGGTCTAGATCACTTGACCTCATGATCCGCCCGCCTCAGACTCCAAAAGTGCTAGGATTACAGGTGTGAACCACAGCTCCTGCTTGATGTAGCACTTTTCCAGACTTTTCTTTTTTTTTTCTTTTTTTTTTTTTTTTTTTGAGACAGGGTTTCTTTTTTTTGTTTAGACTGGAGTGCAGGGGCACCATCATGACTCACTACAGCCTCCACCTCCCAAGTTCAAGTGATTCTCCTGCCTCAGCCTCCTGAGTAGCTGGGATGACAGGCGTGCATCCCCATGCCTGGCTAATTTTTGTATTTTAGCAGAGATGGGGTTTCACCATGGCCAGGATGGTTTTGATCTCCTAATCTCATGATCTGTCGGCCTCAGCCACCCAAAGTGTTGGGTTTATAGGCTTGAGCTGCCACACTCAGCGTTTTTAGTCTTTTATACGTATTGACCCTAAGAATATTCTGCAGGCCTATGAAAACTTATTTTGTGACTGTAAGATTCAGTCTAAAAGAATAATAGCTGAACTAAATGTATAATATTGAGTTATATTTACATAAATTATAAAAAAACACAATTTTTTTTAAAAAAAGGGAACCATGGATGAACAGTGAATTCAGTAACTATTATTTAAACTGTATTAAATATCAAAATGTTTTTATATAGACCCTATCCACAATTTACAGATTAGGTATGACTACTTCCTCTTGTTGATCTTTTATGCAAAACAAAATAAGATTAAATCTCAGAAGACCACAATTTAGAATAAACATGAATTCCTAACCACTTGAAATACATCAGATTTTCACTCTGAGGAGACTTTTCTTATCTGATTAAATAAAAGGTGGTATGTGCAGTTTACAAAGTTGACGGAAACATACAAAGAAAAAAAACACTTGAAGAAGAATAGCTGTCTCTTTCTTCCTAACTCCAAAATAAAAGAAGTGATCATTTTGAGAACATTAAAATTAAAATTAAAATGTTAAACTTTACACTAATAACCAGTTGACATTTTATAACTTTAGGTGGTTCAAAAAATGTTTTCCATCTAGAAGTCAGATTACTAAACTATGGTTCAAAAGCTAAGTGTGGCCTAACAAAGGCTTCTATGACGGGTCTTATTATTCTTCCCACTCCCCAGCTTTGGGAATTTTTCTGTTCTTTAAATATCACTTTTAGTAGTATAGTGACTGTATTTTCCAAACTTCAAATCAGGCCATAAGTTCTGGCACTTGAGTGTTTTGTGTTGTTTCTTGGTGCCAGGTGCACTCTAGGAAGTGTGACTTAGATATCAAAAAAATAGAATATCAGAGCAGAACTGAAGGAGATAGAGACACAAAAAACCCTTCAAAAAATCAATTAATCCAGGAGCTGGTTTTTTGAAAAGATCAACAAAATAGACAGACCACTAGCCAGGCTAATAAAAAAGAAAAGAGAGAATAACCAAATTGATGCAATAAAAAACCGTAAAGGGGATATCACCAGAGATTCCACAGAAATTCAAACCATCATCAGAGATTATTACAAACAACTCTATGCACGTAAACTAGTAAACCTGGAAGAAATGGATAAATTCCTGGACACTTGCCTCCTTCCAAGCCTAAACCAGGAAGAAGTTGAAACCCTGAATAGACCCATAACAAGGTCTGAAGTTGAGGCAGCTATTAAGAGTCTTCCACCCAAAAAAAGCCCAGGTCCAGATGGGTTCACAGCTGAATTCTACCAGACATACAAAGAGAAGCTGGTACCTTTCCTTCTGAAACTATTCCAAATAATCCAAAAAGAGGGAATCCTTCCCAAATCATTTTGTGAGACAAACGTCATCCTGATACCAAAACCCAGCAGAGACTCAACAAGAAAAGAAAACATCAGCCAATATCCATGATGAACATAGATGCAAAAATCTTCAATAAAATACTGGCAAGCCGACTGCAACAGCGCATCAAAAAGCTTATCCACCGTCATCAAGTAGGCTTCATCCCAGGCATGCAAGGCTGGTTCCACATATGCAAGTCTATAAATGTAATTCACCACATAAACAGAACCAAAGAAAAAAACCACATGATTATCTCAATTGATGCAGAGAAGGCCTTCGACAAAATTCAACAGCCCTTTATGCTAAAAACCCTCAATAAGCTAGATACCGATGGAACATATCTCAAAATAATAAAAGCTATTTATGACAAACCAACAGCCAATATCATACTGAATGGGCAAACACTGGAAGCATTCCCCTTGAAATGTGGCACTAGACAAGGATGCCCTCTCTCACCACACCTGTTCAATATAGTATTGGAAGTTCTAGCCAGAGCAGTCAGGGAAGACAAAGAAATAAAGGGTATTCAATTAGGAAAGGAGGAAGTCAAATTGTTTCTATTTGCAGACGACGTGATTGTATATCTAGAAGACCCCATCGTCTCAGTCCAAAATTTCTTGAAACTGATAAGCAAGTTCAGCAAAGTCTCAGGATACAAAATCAATGTGCAAAAATCACATGCATTCCTATACACCAATAACAGACTTAAAGAGAGCCAAATCAAGAACAAACTTCCATTCACAATTGCTACAAAGAGAATAAAATATCTAGGAATACAACTAACAAGGAACATAAAGGACCTCTTCAAGGAGAACTACAAGCCACTGCTCATCGAAATAAGAGAGGACACAAACAGATGGAGAAACATTCCATGTTCATGATTAGGAAGAATCAATATTGTGAAAATGGCCATACTGCCCAAAGCAATTTACAGATTCAACGCTATTCCCATCAAGCTACCAAAGACCTTCTTCACAGAACTGGAAAAAACCACCTTAAACTTCATATGGAACCAAAAAAGAGCCTGCAGAGCCAAGTCAATTCTTAGCAAAAAGAACAAAGCAGGAGGCATCACACTACCAGACTTCAAACTACACTACAAGGCTACAGTAATCAAAACAGCATGGTACTGTTACCAAAACAGAGATATAGACCAATAGAACAGAACAGAGGCCTTGGAGGCAACACAACATATCTACAACCATCTGATCTTTGACAAACATGAAAAAAACAAGCAATGGGGAAAGGATTCCCTGTTTAATAAATGGTGTTGGGAAAACTAGCTAGCCATGTGCAGAAAGCAGAAACTGGACCCCTTCCTGACACCTTACACTAAAATTAACTCCAGATGGATTAAAGACTTAAACATAAGACCTAACACCATAAAAACCCTAGAAGAAAATCTAGGCAATAAAACCTGAATGGTTTTATTCAGGCCATAGGCGTGGGCAAGGGCTTCATGACCAAAACAACAAAAGCATTGGCAACAAAAGGCAAAATAGACAAATGGGACCTAATCAAACTCCACAGCTTCTGCACGGCAAAAGAAACAGTCATTAGAGTGAATCGGCAACCAACAGAATGGGAAAAAATTTTTGCAGTCTACCCATCTGACAAAGGGCTGATATCCAGAATTTACAAAGAACTAAAACAGATCTACAAGAAAAAAACAAGCCCATTCAAAAGTGGGCAAAGGATATGAACAGACACTTTACAAAAGAAGACATACATGAGGCCAACAAACATATGAAAAAATGCTCATCATCACTGGTCATTAGAGAAATGCAAATCAAAACTACATTGAGGTACCATCTCATGCCAGTTAGAATGGCAATCGTTAAAAAATCTGGAGACAACAGATGCTGGAGAGGATGTTGAGAAATAGGAACAGTTTTACACTGTTGGTGAGAGTGTAAATTAGTTCAACCATTGTGGAAGCCAGTGTGGCGATTCCTTAAGGACCTAGAAATAGAAATTCCATTTGACTCAGCAATCCCATTACTGGGCATATAGCCAAAGGATTATAAATCGTTCTACTATAAGGACACGTGCACACGAATGTTCATTGCAGCACTGTTTACAATAGCGAAAACCTGGAACCAACTGAAATGCCCATCAATGGTAGACTGGACAGAGAAAATGTGGTACATATACACTACGGAATATTATGCTGCCATCAAAAATGATGAGTTCGTGTCTTTTTTAGAGACATGGATGAACCTGGAAACCATCATTCTCAGCAAACTGACACAAGAGCAGAAAATCAAACACTACATGTTCTCACTCATAGGCGGGTGTTGAACAATGAGAACACATGGACACAGGGAGGGGAGCAGTACACACTGGAGTCTGTAAGGGGGAAATGGGGGAGGGATGGGTGGGTGGGAAGGTGGGGAGAGACAGCATGGGGAGAAATGCCAGATGTAGGTGAAGGGGAGGAAGGCAGGAAATCACACGGCCATATGTGTACCTATGCAACAATCTTGCATGTTCTTCACATGTACCCCAAAACCTAAAATGCAATAAAAAAATTTAAAAAAATTAGAATTTCAGAGCACATGTCATCAGGACCTCCTGAGGGTGTGTCAAGGAAAAAAATAGGTAAAACAAAAGAAAAAAAATTAGACTTTTTTTGATATCTTGAAGATTTGGAAAGATAATGAAAAAGAATGTTTGAAATTAATAATGCCTTTGAAATTTTGATTACTGTGTGAATAAAACATCTGAATCAAGGTTACTGGATAGGTAAAAAAAATCAGTTAAAAATCTAGAAGAAACTGGAAATCTTATTTAATCTGAAATTATTAGAAAGTATATTCCACAGTTCATTTAGACATAAGCAAATTTCAAAAAATCTATGCAACCTTATGCAAATATACTCATAACTCTCTATTAAATGTGTGACATGTTCAAGAATGAGGTACTTTCCTGAAATTGTTATTGTAGGGATGTTAGGATTACTGCCCAGCTTGGTATTACCAAGCTGTGGGGAAATCTATTCCCATGAGGCGCAGAGATTTGAGCTGGCCATACTACCAGACATGTTATTTGCAGCTCCTTCTTGCCACAACTATCATGATGAAAGAGCCAGTCTTGTGTACCTACATCTGCTCCTGAGATGTCCCCTTCTGATTTTACAGTTTTAATGATTTATAGATGCGATAATACTATCTTTGTGGGTAGCCAAGAAGAGGGTCACAAGTTGGCTCCAGAGTCAATGAGGACACTAAGAAGGTTCTAACTACCTTTCATTCTGCTATAGTGAGCTTCATGAAGACAGGGTGAGTGTTTTTAATCTCTGAGGCCCTGTGCTAAGCCTTACTTATAGTAGATGCTTAATAAATATCTGCTAAATAGCTTATAAGATCCTCAAGGAAGAAACCATTTTCCTCACCTTCCAAGTTTTTCATTTGTACTCATCACTGAATGGCAGCTATTTTCGTGAGTTGACTATCATTGCATAGGCAAACAGAATAAGGAAGCAATGTTTTGAAGCAGCAGATAATGTCAGTCACATAACTGCAAATGTAAATATGTATCCTAGAGAAGCTGCTACTCACCTACCTTCTTGTGTGACCAGGATAAAGGAGATAGTTGGTCATTATCTCTTCTTTCATGTATCACCTGGGAAACCCATCATTCTTAAAAGAAGCAGTGGTATCTTGCAAGTTGACTATTTAGTCTATTTCCTTGTAAAGGGGTAAAAAAGCAGAATTGGTGATTGTTAATTACATAACCCCCTCAGAGTTAAATCGTTATAGAAGACATAGTGAAGAGGATTAAAAAAGAATATTAGTCTTTGCTAGTTTTTCAGAAGTTAATCCTCACAATTGACTAGACAGAGATGGAAGCAAATTAAAATAAACATGGCATAGCAATAACAAAGAACAAATACATATACAAACACAACCTGATCCCAAGAATTTTCTAAAATTCATAAGCAGGTTAAAGAGCTGTCAGGACAGACAACTATCACAAAGAAGAAACAAACTTTTATTCCAAAAAATATTTTTCTTGATTACAAATGTGCATTATGGATCTCACCACCCAGAAAGTTGGCATCTGTTCTCAGACTTTTAAAAATGATTACATATGTATTTATCTATGACAAAGCTGAAATGGTTTTATGCATAATGTTCTTTCTGTAAGGTATTTATCTCCCCTCAAATGTAAACATTTTTTCATGTCCAAAAAATAAAATACCTTCTATAAAGAACTTGACTGACTAAAAGGCAAATGACTCAAATACTTAAGTACAAAGATCCTAAATTATGCTTTGAGGGTAAAATGAGCCTACATGTAAAGGCAAGATAAATAAAATAAAATAAGAAGCCAAATAAGCCTACTTCCACCACTTGGAAAAAAGCACCATCCTCTGTAGAACTGAAAAACCAGAAAACATTTTTCCTCTGATGGGAAAAACGACCTCTCTTCTGCTTGGGCAATTTTTTTCAGTCTATATTTACCAAGGAATATATTGCTGCAATAGACAATTTGTGTATAGTAAATCATCGATATGGTTTAAGTCAATAAAAGCCAAATTGAGACCATTAAGTAGACTAATGCTGTGTAACAGTTCAATGCTTGACTTACTTAAATATACATATATCCTTTGGTGAAATTAGCTTCATTCAGCTTTATGTTTTTACACAAAGAATGTTTTTAAGAGGGACAGTAAACCGGAGAGAAGAAACCTGCAGAACTTTGGAGGCTAACTTACATGTGTTATTAGTAATTATATTTTCTAACAATAAAGATATGTTCTGATTAAAAGGCCTTATTTAAGTTTGGCCATGTAAGAGTAACAAATGGACTGGATATTTGAGTGCCCAAAATCTTTTATTGGGGCAAGAACCCAAAACATAGAATTCAAAGACTGAGTATGAATCTTTGTTAATGTGCTAAAAAATCAACGATCAGTCATGATGATATCCTTTTCACCCCTTATATTAGCCTTCTGTGTTTCACAGGAAGTAAATTATCACAAATGAACCTTCCAAGAATTTCAAAATGTATCATTTATTAGCTAAAGACTTAAAGAACAAGTTCTAAGGCTATAGCCTTCTTTGATGTGATAAAACATCAGAAGAAAGAAAAATTAAAATTTCAGAAAATATAATTCATAGATGCAATCAGAAAAAAATTAAGGAGTTAAAAACCGATAAAAGGGAGGAAATCCAAGATGGCCGTTTAGGAACAGCTCAGGATTGCAGCTCCCAGTGAAAGTGCAGAGGGTGAGTGGACGCCGCGTTTTTATTGCCCACAGAATAGGAAATTCCCGGGCGGAGGAGCTCCACGGTCACCAGTGCGGCTGTTTCGGGCCAGCACAGCTGTGCCGGCCGATGCTGCTGCTTTGCCCCCAGCGGCTGCTTTGTCGGCGCCCTGGAACCGCGGTTCTCCGTACAAAATACACCTGTCCGGGTGCCCTTTAGGATGGCGATTGGAGCCACGGGAAGTCGCCCATTCACCGGTTCAAAAAGGGGACTGAGCAGAGAACCAGGACAGTAGATTCCAGGGCAAAAAAAAAAAAAGGGCCACAAACCTCAGTGCCGCTGTTTAAGACAGCGCAGTGAGGGGCCGCAGGGGAAAACAAACAGACCCCGGCGCCTCTTCAACAGGCGGCTGGAACACAAACTTAAAAAAGGCTCTGAGGCAGGGAGCCAGGCGATCAGGCTCGGCTGGTCCCACCCCCACAAAAGAACAGCAACCAGAAACTCTGGATTGAGACTTTCACAGCAAGCGCAGCTGAACCTGGGACAGTACAGATCTGTGGGGGAGGGGCGTCCGCCATTACCGAGGCAGCCCGCCGTTGCCAAGGCAACCCGCCATTGCTGAGGCAGCCCACCGTTGCCAAGGCAACCCGCCACAGCAGAGAGACTCCGCCTCAACAGAGGCGGGCCACCATCGCCAAAGCAGTTCTAACTACACCCATATAAACAGGACTGCAGGGAAGTTCCCTCAGCAGCGGGGTGGAGACCACAGTAGCTCGGCAAAGCCTCTATAGGCCGACAGTGACTAGGCTGCATCCTTGCTGGGCAGGGCAGGTCTGAAGGAAAAAAAAAAAAAAAAGCAGCAGCATAACGGAAACTTATAAATAAAGCCCTAAATCCCTGGGACAGAGCACCTGGGAACAAAAAGCAGTTTATGAGTTCTGCTGCAGCAGACCTAAACGTACCTGCCCAGCAGCTGTGAATGAACAACAGAGCTCACAGCTCACCATTTGAGTTCCTATAAAGAAGAGACCGTCTCCTCAAGCAGCTCCCTGACCCCTATATATCCAAAGAGACACCTCATAAAAGAGAGATCAGATTGACACTAGGCGGGTATCCTTCTGGGACAAAGATAGCAGAAGAAGAAAACTGGTAACAACCCTTACTGTTCAGCAGCTGCTGCAGGTGAACCCCAGGCAAGCAGGGCCTGGAGTGAACCTCAGCAGACCTACACCAGAGGGGCCAGGCTGTCAGAAGGAAAACTAAGAAACAGAAATAGCCTCATCATCAACAAACAGAACGTCAATCTGAAAGATTTGAGGCCCAATCTGAAAGCCAGCAACTACAAAGTCGACAGGTGGACAAATCCTTAAAGATGGGAAGAAACCAGCTCAAAAAGGATGAAAACACCCGAAACCAGAACACCTCTCCTCCTAAAAGGGATCACAACTCCTCACCAGCAAGGGAACAAGGTTGGAGGGAGAACGAGTGTGATGAAATGACAGAATCAGACTTCAGAAGGTGGGTAGTAAGAAACTTCTGTGAACTTAAAGAACATGTTCTAACCAAATGCAAAGAAACTAAGAACGTTGAAAAAAGATTTGACGAAATGCTAACGAGAATGGACAAAATAGAAAGGAATATAAGTGAATTGATGGAGCTGAAAAACGCAACACGAGAACTTCATGAAGCATGCACAAGTTTCAACAGCCGAATTGACCAAGCAGAAGAAAGGATATCAGAGGTCGAAGATCAACTCAATGAAATAAAACGGGAAGGCAAGACAGGAGAAAAAAGCGTAAAAAGGAATGAACAAAGTCTCCAAGAAATGTGGGACTATGTGAAAAGACCTAATCTACGTTTGATAGGCGTACCTGAATGCGACGAGGAGAATGAATCCAAGCTGGAAAATACTCTTCAGGATATTATCCAGGAAAACTTCCCCAACCTAGCAAGGCAGGCAAACATTCAAGTCCAGGAAATACAGAGAACACCACAAAGATATTCGTCAAGAAGAGCAACCCCAAGGCACATAATCGTCAGATTCACCAGG